CTGGAAATTGGGCCTCAGAAACAGTTGACAAGTCCCACGCGCCAGAAGTGTCCATGCTTGTGAATGAGAAATTCGCCATCTTTGTGTTGATTTCTGTTAAACCTTTGATTCGTATTTGTTTATATTATAAAATGTCGAACACGGTAATTTCTTCCTCTAATCGGTTTTGGTAAATACTCCAGCAAGTGTCACCGATACTTCAGTTCTCTAGTTATAAAGGTGCTGTAATGCATATACATGTGATAAACATTAGATCCTGACCCGCGGTTTTTTGGCTTCGATGCTGACATATCACTGTAAAAATACCAAAGTACAGAAGCCCTATTATACACACGTCAACAGAGGACATCCCAGAAAACCGGGCGTAAACCGAGGTATGAAGGGTGTTCAATGCAAGATATCTTATTAGACAAATACATACCTAGAGATGTTATGTGACCGTGGCGATATGCTGATCACTGAAGCCTGTCCATTTAGCGAAGCTTTAGTGAAGATCGAGGGCAACCTTGAGCCGCTGCCCAGAAATATCTTGCTTCACTCAACATTTCTAGGGAGGTCTCTCGGAAAACCATTCTTCCTCTTTATCAGAAATATCAGCAAAAATCAAATCTATTCCCCCTTTGAACTTGTTATTGCATGTAGCACATGAATGCTCTGAAAACCAGCACATGTATATTCCGCAACCGCCTCGTAGTAAAAAATGTTACCAAAACGTAGAATTATTACTCCCGTGAACTTGAAATAAACATCCGTCTGACTTTGACTATATTCCAGAACCGCCTCGTTGTCAAAAATATCACAAAAACGTAAATTTCTTTTTACTTAACGCTTGTGAAAAATTAATTTGACTATAAATTTGACGGTCCGACGCTCCTTGTTTATCAGAAATGTCACTAAAAAGTGCATTGGGACCTTTTTCCGCAGCAGTCCCAGCTAGGTGTGGCTCAGCTGAGACGCGCATGGTCAATATTGACGGTTGATTACATATTGTTCTAGCGAATTGAACTTACACAACAAGATTTAGCAAAAATTGACCAAGTAAGTCATACATTACATAAGAATTTGGCGGGAGATGACCAGCGCACGTGGACGAGTTTATTCCATATAACATCTGTAGAGCTTGATATAGGGTCACTTTACTCGGTTTTAGGGGTGTTTTAGGAAGAAATGACTGTATTTTTTTTTCTCGGTATGTATGTCAAATACAAAATAAATAAATAAATAAATAAATAAATAAATAAATAAATAATGTCACCCTCTCGCGATATATGCCCTGAACACCTCTCGCTGGTGCTCGGTGTTATGGCCTTTTTCACTCGGGTGACAGTGTATTGTCTCACACATAAAAGTAGTCAAATCGCCGTTGGGTGCTCAAAGAAGGCACGGTGAGCGCTAACATCGTACACAGAATGTTCACGCGCCGCCGTGGACGCCAGTGTCGCCGCAATGTTTTGGAAATGCTCATAACAATCTCACAGAGAACGCTAGGGGGGGTTGTTCGCTGCAAGGTCGCTCCAGTATCGCTTTGGTTATTAACTGCAATCAGATCAACATCTTTGGCTTAGGGCAAAAAAATGGCCAAATCGTGACACGGCGGATAAAAGCACCAAATTTTGCGTGTGGGTACCTTTTGACGTACTAAGTAAAATAAGAGCCATAGCCCGCGGAAAAATTTTACCGTTTGGTCAAAAAATCCAAAATGGCCGCCAATTTCAATAAATAGAAATATATACATTCCTATGTTGATTTTAATCAAATAAAGTATTTTCTCAGTGTTTTCCACATCCTTATTACCTATATTATGCATATATGTCAGATAGCAAACGAGTTTTCTTGAACTTTCCAACGTACTTGTGCATGTATAGTCAAGTTTTTTTTTTTTTTTTTTTTTTGTAAAGGGGTTTTCTATTCAACCCCTGGAGGAGGGGTGTGTATCTGTTAATCTGGTTGCATACAGCGAGAGTCCCCTCGGAGTTGGATCAATCTACGTAGAATATGGTTTCATCTTGAATAAGCCCCTAGACTAGAGATCGACCACATAAGCCCTTATTTTCTAACATGTGCCACGTCATTTGCATTGTGTCCGAGAAACGTATTAATATTATGGTGTATTAATATCCTGTAGTCATATCCTGTATTAAAATTATGGTGCCAGGTATTAAAGAAGTCCATCTGTCATTGGACAATAATTTACTATCACACAATATTGAGTCTTTCTAGTCAAAACGGAGTGTGGTTATTTTAGCTGACCATTTCTTGAGTGAGAGTTACAACACAGCGGACTTCGAGATTCCCTACATTCCATGAAATCTTGCAGCGATTACTAAGATGGAGCTCGCGGTTAGAATTTCCGAGAACTCTTCCACTTGGGAAGACACGACAATAACTTCACTGGTGCCTGTTGCGGTTTGGTCGGAAAATTCAACAAGGTTTTTTAGCAAAACACCCGACAATTCTAGCCATGGACTCGAAGCTACCACGCAGGGCGGGTTCATCAACAAAACGTCTTTCAATGATGGCGAAAAATTCCTTGTCTATGGTTTCGACGTGTATACCTTCGTATTCAGCGGTATTGTGTTGACTTCGGTTGGTACCATCGGGATGATAAGTAATGTCTTGGCATTCATAGTCTACGCAATTCAAGAAAGAAAGGCGCCTGCAGCACACAGTTACCTGTTCAAATGGCTGGCTTTTTTCGACAATTTATTCATCTTCTGGATGGTCTCTTTCTACGGAACGTTAACTTTTGATGCGCATACAGGATTTCTGGGAGACTTTATGTCAAAATGTGGAAGCTACGTAGCGTATGTTTGGCCCATCGGGACCGTGTCTGCATTAGCTTCAAAGTATATGCTTGTCTTCGTTGCTGTGAATCGTTACCTTGCAGTTTGTAAACCTCATTTGGCTGGGAAATATTGCTCTGTTTCTCAGTGGCGAGTGCGTATTTTCATCCTCTTCATAGTTTGTGTTGTATACAACTTGCCGAGGCACTTTGATCTAGAATCAGTGCGGTACGTCCCCTGTGGCAAAGTGAAAAGTAATGGGTTATGTTTTGTAGCCACAAGCAGAAAATGGCCACAGTGGTACTTCCTCTTGTACCGCACTATTTGCCAATTTATTTTCTATCATATAATACCTCTGTGTATACTTATTGTATTAAATTGCAAATTGATACTTAGAGTGAAGAAAAGCGTACAGAAACAGAAGGAACTTGCAGTGAAAAATGACAAACGGCAACGTTTGCAGAGAGAGCTGAATAGGATTGTCATCTTGTTGGTGACAACCTATATCATATGCGTAACACCAATAACTGTATTCCCACTTCTACAACTTCTCAAAGACGCGTTGCCAAAGCAAGTGCTTGCATCTATGAAATATTTCCAGCCCATCGCTTTCTTCCTTGGTGAAGTCAACTCATCTGCAAACTTCTTCATTTATGGGTTGGTCAGCACTTCGTTTCGACAGGAACTGAAATCGCTCTTCTGTCGTAGTGAGAACCAAGACGCTGACACTGAAAATGGTGAAATGCCTGCCTCCTTGCCACGACGGGTTTGAATTAAGAACGCTTATAACGAATTGTTCACGAGGAAATACTTCAAACTTTGTCAATTGTGAAAACATCCTTCGTTACGCTGCGTCCTGCAGTCGCGTTGTGTTACTAAAAACAGTATTTTAAGACCATTTTGTAGCCCATATCTAACCTATTATAATGAACGCGGAATGCATGAAGCTAATTCGTTTACCAAGCATTATGTAAAACAACCCAAGTGTCTATTATTTTGACTGCTTCATTGGACACTCACTAGGCCTATATGTGTTCTATTCATATTATGTGGTCTGCAAAAAAAAAAAAAAAAAATATATATATATATATATATATATATATATATATATATATATATATATATATATATATATATATATATCTGAATGATCTTTCCTTAAAGTAAGCTACACAGAAGATAACTATAGGTGGAGACAAACTGATCAATTAATTAACGAGCACAACCGACTCCACTTTTGAGAAAAATGGAGGGGGGCTTTCAAAACTTTTATTTTTATTTTGAAGTGGAAAAGAAATGCAATGGGCCTTGGTTGGGTTGAATTGGCGCCAGAACAGAACACTCTTTCTAAAACTATTACTTTTATGCTCTAAAACTGCCCACACTGTGGATATGATATTGTCTTCAAGAATAAAATTGAAGTGAGAACACCAGCGAACCGAATCTCCCAAGGACAAGATGGTGCGCCAATATGGATGTCAAAACAAGGTATGTGCTCGTAACAGAATAGTTTTAAGGTAAAATTTATGATCTCCTCGCTATTCTCGTAGTTTTCTCTGACATTTATCGGGATTAACAAAAATAGAATTAAGTAGCAAGAAATCAACACCTGTTTGTTTGCATCATTTTGGGAGCAGGGGGTAACTATGGCTACCGATGATTTTTTTAAGTTGGGGGGGGGGGTAAGGAGGAGTTAGGGAGATGGAGGGAGGAGGGTGATGTAAATAAACTTTTTTCTATATAAATTGCTTACTCTTCACCCTCACTTCTCATTCTTACCTCCTCCTCCTTAAAAAAGCATATTGGTAGCCATAGGTATGACGTAAACAAACAAGCAAACAGTCCACCCACAATCCACCCACCGAGGGTAACCCAGATGTTGATTTCTTACTACTTAAATGCATTTTAAACCCCCTTTGCACTGGGAGGCGACCATTGTGCGACCATAAAACTGGCCAAGTCTGGTGATCGCTAAAATCGTACACAGAATGTTCACGCGTAGCCGCAATGTTTAGGACATGCTCAAAACAATCTCACAGAGAACGCTACGGGGGTTGTTCGCTGCAAGCTCGCTCAAAGGAAGCAGAAAGGAGGCACAAGTATAGCTTTGGTTATAAAATGCAATGAGATCAACATATACTTTTTTCCAACGTACACATAAGCCCTTGTTTTCTATTATGTGCAACGTAATTTGCATCATGTCTGGGAAACGTATTACTCCTGTATTAATTTTATGGTGGCACGTATTCAAGAAATCCTTCGAAAAGACACGAGGTCATTGGACAATAATTCACTATCACACAACATTGCGTCATTCTAGTTAAAAAGGCGTGTGGTTATTTTAGCTGACCATTTCTTGAGGGAGAGTAACTACACAGCGGACTTGGAGATTCCACACATTCCATGAAATCTTGCAGCGATTACTAAGATGGAGCTCGCGGTTAGTTTTTCCGAGAATTCTTCCACTGGGGAAGACACGACAATAACTTCACTTGTGCCTTTTGCCGTGTGGTCGGAAAATTCATCAAGGTTTTTGAGCAAAACACCCGACAATTCTAGCCATGGACTCGAAGCTACCACGCAGGGTGGGTTCATCAACAAAACGTCTTTCAATGAAGGCGAAAACTTCCTTGCCTATAGTTTCGACGTGTATACCTTCGTACTCGGCGGTATAGTGCTGACTACGGTTGGTACCATCGGGATGATAAGTAATGTCCTGGCATTTATAGTGTACGCAATTGAAGAAAGAAAGGCACCCGCAGCACATTGTTACCTGTTCAAATGGCTGGCTTTTTTCGACAATTTATTCATTTTCTGGATGGTCTCTTTTTTCGGAACATTGACTTTTGATGCGCACACAGGGTTTCTTGGAGACTTTATGTCAAAATACGGAAGCTACGTAGCGTATGTTTGGCCCATTGGAACAGTACCGGCTTTAGCTTCAAAGTATATGCTTGTCTTCGTTGCTATGAATCGTTACCTTGCAGTTTGTAAACCTCATTTGGCCGGGAAATATTGTTCTGTTTCTCAGTGGCGAGTGCGTATTTTTATCCTCTTCATAGTTTGTGTTGTATACAACTTGCCGAGGCACTTTGATCTAGAATCAGTGCGGTACGTCCCCTGTGGCAAAGTGAAAAGTAATGGGTTATGTTTTGTAGCCACGAGCAGAAAATGGCCACAGTGGTACTTTCTCTTTTACCGCACTATTTGCAAAGGTACTGTCTATCATTTCATACCTCTGTGTACACTGATTGTATTAAATTGCAAATTGATACTTAAAGTGAAGAAAAGCGTACAGAAACAGAAGGAACTTGCAGTGACAAATGAAAGACGGCAACGTTTGCAGAGAGAGCTGAATAGGATTGTCATCTTGTTGGTGACAACATATATCATATGCGTAACACCAATAACTGTTTTTCCGCTTCTACAACTTCTCAAGGACGCGTTGCCAAAGCAGGTGCTTGCATCTCTGAAATATTTCCAGCCCATCGCCTTCTTCCTTGGTGAAGTCAACTCATCTGCGAACTTCTTCATTTATGGGTTGGTCAGCACTTCGTTTCGACAGGAACTGAGATCGCTCTTCTGTCGTAGTGAGAACCAAGACCCTGACACCGAAAATGGTGAAATCCCTGCCGACATGCAGAGACGGGTTTGAATTACGAACGCTTTTAACGAATTCGAATAGTTCACGAGGAAATACTTGAAACTGTCAACTGTGAAAACATCCTTCGTAACGCTGTCACCTGCAGTCACGTCGTGTTACTACAAATAGTTTTTAAAGAATATTTTACTACGATGTTGTCGCCCATATTTAACCTATCACAATATAACGCGTAATACATGTAGCTACCATATATACCAACTACAGCATTATGTAAAATGGCTTGTCAAATGTTTATTATTTTGACTGCTTCATTGCACGCTCACTATGTGTTCTATTTATATTTTGTGGTCTGTTAAAAAAAAACAATTTTAAATTATCTTTCCTTAAAGTGAGCTACAAAGAAGATAATGATAAGGCCAGATAAATTGATTAATTGATTTATGAGATTTAAAATAAAGGAATAAAAAGCACTTTAAATGTGATGAAACATTTATTTGTGCACCGAGATGTTTGTTAAGATTCCCGTAACACTTTACAAAAACGAATTATATTTTTGGTAAACAAGAATCTTTGTAAGTAGGCCTACTTACATCAATTGTGCTATCATCAATCGTGCTTTGCATAAGGCCTAATGACTTACCTTGAGCTTTAGGGGCGTAAGTCTAGAATGCCGTATGTGATATCCTATAGAAAACACTAATAGGCCTATAGTGTACTAGTAAATGCTTTCTGTACAATTTCATTGATAGATATTTTATTGGAATAAAACTGCTGGACAGCAGGAAATCCTAATTTTCTGACATGACTTGAAAACGTAACATGGTAAAGGAGCAGAGGGCCGGGGTGCTGACGTCATTTTGCCAAAAATTTCTCATGTAGGCTACATATGTCGAGATAATGTGAACAGCCAGATAAATTTTTGTGAATAACCAGTTAAAAATCTCTCTCTGGCAACAAAAGCCGTATATAAAAATTCCTGGGACGTCGAGCTGCATATTCGCGTGGTGGTCGGTTTCATAAAAGAGCAATAAAATGAAGTTCTTAACAATGTAGATCTAAGACTAAAATTTTGATCTATTTTGATTCAAAATAAGTTAGAACGGAACTGTACTAAAAACTATAATTTTATTGGGTTAAAACTCGAACTTTTTTTCAAATTTTATATTATTATTATTATTAATTGTGAAGCAGACCCCTAGATCTTTCTTGCCAGTATAAAAATATCGAAAAAAAAGACTGAGGTTCGGTAGTAACATATGGGACAGGGTTAGCGTAACTTAAATGGGTCAAAAATTAGCACGGGGCTAATTTGTAGAAATCAATGTGAAACAGATAAGCGCTGTGTATCGAGCCTATAAAACACGGACATTGAAGTCGCTGCGCATGACGTCACAGGAAAAGCATGGCGCAGATAAACAATCTGCGGACACGTAACTAGACGAAAAAGTAGCGGTATTTGAAAGTATTGAGGAAGAATTTGGGAAACACTGACATTGCTGGACTAAGATAATACATGACTTAATTTGATGGCACGTGTAATCTGCTTATTGAGTAATCCAATACGGTCAATCTTATCACAAAAATGCATTGTGCAATGTAGGCCTACTACTGTACTTTGCTCCCGATAGAGAAGGCTGTTTGACAGGACGGTGTAATTTTAGCTCGGCGTCGCATTTTGGTCTAATACATAATTAATTAAGTCAGAAACTAGCAATGGCGAAGAAAATAGCAATCATCGGCGCGGGAGCGAGCGGTCTGACTGCAATTAAGTGCTGTTTGGACGAGGGACTGTCGCCTACGTGCTTTGAGCGTTCTGATGACCTTGGTGGCTTATGGAACTACAGGTATGGAACGTGACAGGCGGGGTGAGAGGTGCACGGGGAGAGGGGTTGGAAATAGTGGTGTAAAATATTATTAGAAGTGGTTAATTAACTTAGCATTTAGAGCGTTGGCTGATTGAGGAAATGGTGGACGGGGGGTATGGGGTGGGAAAGGGGAGATGGGGGGGGGGGAGGGGCAATTCCAGGGGATACCAGTGCTACAGGAGGCCCTTACAAACTCCGTAGATCCTATCTGGCTGCCTGGTCTTTTTAACAAGCATTAACTTTTAACTCTAGCTTTCACACTTGCAAGCACATGTATTAATTAGTTCTATAATTAATTATGATAATCTGCCACCCTGGTTAACAGTATGTACATATATTTATATATATATGCCAGTACACTACCTGCAGTACACTAGGCTGTACACAGTAGCTACATGTACATGTATATATTTCTCTTCTATTTATCCATGCCCCCTCCCCCTTCAACACACACGTGCACGTGATTGAAAAGTCTGGATCCGCCGTGCTGTCATTAAATGTTGCTGTGATATAAAAATTTAAATTTTGGTGTCCCTTTCTGTCTATCATAGGCCAGAGGAGAGAGCTGATGGAGATGCAACTGTGATGAAGTCCACCATTATCAACACCAGCAAAGAAATGATGTGCTACAGTGATTTCCCCATTCCAAAAGAATACCCCAATTTCATGCACAACACATTCATCATGAAATACTTCCATCTGTACGTCGAGAAGTTTGATCTGAGAAAACACATCAAATTCCGCCATGAAATCGTTCACATTTCTCAGTCGTCCGACCATAAGGTAACTGGACGATGGTCAGTGAAGGTGAAGGATTTGGTTGAGGATCAAGAGTGGACTGAGGATTTTGATGGAGTTATTATCTGCACTGGACACCATGCAAAGAAACATGAACCGAGTTTTCCAGGACAGGAGAAGTTCCGGGGTAAAATCATTCATACTCATGACTACAGGTAATGAGATATGTTTTTAAAAGTAAACGGAAATTATACAAGTTAAATCACTTGAACAGTTTACTTGCAAACCACAAAGTGATGGGTTAAAGAAAAATTTGAGACCACATTTTTCATTTGGCCTCTGCTCAATTCTTTTCACATCCAGGAAATGAGGGTGGTGATTTTATTGATATTTTAATAACTGAATTGGACAATACAGAAAACTGGCTGTTTGCATTTCTGATAATGTATCAAACAAAAAGCACTCTGGGTCACATATGATATCCTCATGAGTTTTTTTTTATATTGAACGAAATATATAAAATATTAAACCTTGTATATTGATAGTGGCATGACTAACTCAGAAAAATTGTAACATAGTCCTGTAGCATAGCCCTGTCTGTTTCTGTTTTTTTGAACTGATCTGTGTTTCAGAGACCATAAGGGCTACGAAGATAAGCGCGTTGTGGTGATTGGTGTAGGGAATTCTGGGAATGATGTCGCAACTGAGCTGGGACGAATAAGTAAACAGGTTAGTGTGGAAGTAAATGTACTTGAGGTGTCTTCTAGTATTAATAGGGATTAGAATTCCTCCTCTTAAATTCATGAATGTGAGGAATTTCAGAAAATCTACAATTTGTGGAGGGGGGAGATGTGCCACCTGAATTCACCTGTGCAGCATATGGTAATGATGAACAGATTGATGGATGGATGTGTAAACAGATGTGTGTGTGTGTACGTGTGCATGCTCGTGTATTTATATATTTATTTCTCCTCACTCTAGGTGTACCTGTCCACGCGGCGCGGCATGTGGGTGTTGAACAGAGTAGACCAGTACGGACTGCCGATAGACATTGTCTCCATCAGACGGATTCTCAACTGGTTTATTAAGATAATGCCTTTCAATTTAATGTAGGTACACAGATTTTTCTTATTATTGCTGTTTTTCTTTCTTTCTTTCTTTCTTTCTTTCTTTCTTTCTTTCTTTCTGTATAATTGTTTTGTAGGTAACAGATTTAACTTTAATATTGTGGGTAAAAATACAAACTAAGGTATTGAAAATTATGTAGTCAGCAGAAGCTGAGGCTTTGGTGACAATAACAAAGCATAGAGAAAGTTTTCAAAGATAATTTTTGAGGTAAACTATTCTAATATCCAGGTGTTCCATTGGAGAGCAAAGGGTGAATTCTCGCTTCGATCACGCACGATATGGCATCCAACCAGAGCACAGAATCTTCAGCCAGCATCCCACCGTCAACGACGACCTACCAAACCGTATATTGAGTGGAGGAATCATCATCAAACCCAATGTGAAACAATTCACTGAGACGGGAGTGGAATTTGAAGACGGAACATTCGAGGACAATATAGATGTAGTTTTTCTTGCGACTGGGTACATCTTTGGCTTCCCATTTCTGGACGAAGGCGTTATCAAGGTGAAAGACAATGTGGTGGATTTATACAAGTACGTGTGGCCACCAAACAGTCCAAAGTCCTCCCTGGCTGTACTGGGGTGCATCCAACCCCTGGGGGCCATCTTTCCAATTTCTGAGCTCCAGTGCCGCTGGGTCACCAGAGTGTTCAAGGTATTCCCAGTTTATGTCAGTTTCCAGTTTAGACAAAATTTTTAAGTTGGTAAACAAGCAGAGACTTTGGCCCCATTCAGAATAGGGGACTAACTAGTCTGAGGGTCAAATATGGACGACCCACTTGAATACGTCCCCACGGGATATCTATTCGGTGTCTATTAGTGGATTAGATGGCAAGCTTTGTAGTGGGTCGCCATATTTGACCCTCTGACTAATTGGTCCCCTATTCTGAATGGGGCCTATCTGTAAACAGGGTCGTTAGACATTAATTTATTATTATTTTATTTTATAACAGGCATAGAAACTATTGTAGGGTTGGTTGGTGTGTATTTTTTTTTTTATTAGGAGTAGGACATGTCAAGTCCACAGAGTTGGTGATTTTTTTAGCATGAAACTATCAACATGTTGATCTTTCATGTAATTATAAATTGTTCCCACTTACCAAACTAGTGCCAAATGCATTTTTTTCTCTATTTAAAGAAAAAAAAGGGGGTAAGAAAAAATCTAACTTTCCTTAAAATTAGGGTGGGTGGGTTGGCATAATAGCTAAGTAATGGACTGTCAAGGATCACCAGTTTGGTGTATGTGTGAGTATTTTAAAATACACTCAGAATTATCTTTCAGGTTGCCAAAGTGTGTTTATACAGGTTAATTTTTAGCCAACTTGCTGAGATATCGATTGAATGATTTAAGATAAACCTGGGAAAAGGTCTCTGTCAAAAGATAGGAAATTAATTGATTATATGCCATGAGGCATGTAAAAAGCACCAAAACAAGATAATATAAGAACATTTTAAGATTTAATTAAAGAGCTGACATTGTCAAAGAATTTTGAAGAGATCAGTCAATTACGAAAAAATATATAACAAGAAAAGGAAATCTGTTTGCAGATTTTTGCCAGTTAGGCTTGGAAAAAAAGGTTGGTCATGTAGAAAAAGCATCAAAAGCGTGGTAAAAGTTTTAAATAGTCTATATTATATTAAGCCAACAATTCCCTTAAATTTGCCTTTACGATAAAAATCTGATGTTCAGTAAAATATTGACTTTCTCAGGGTCTGGCGAAGCTCCCCAGTAAAGATGAAATGTATGCAGACATCCAGAGAAAGCGAGAGGCGATGGCCAAGCGGTACGTAAAGAGCCAGCGTCACACCATTCAGGTGGATTATATAAACTACATGGATGAACTGGCAGAACAAGTGGGGTGCAAACCAGATATAGGTGAGTTTTTGGCTGTATTCCCAGAGCTTTTAGATCAATCTATCTCTGCGGGGAGTCTCACTAGATTACTGTCAGATAATCCGGCTTAAATGTCCGTCCCGCCTACTATAAGCTGTAAGGGGGTAATTAACTTTCGTGTCCACCCGGCTGACAGCTATTTAGCGTGAACCCCCAGGGAGTTAGGTCGATCTAAAGTAGATCGATCTTATCTCTGGAAATGGGGTCTTTGTTAAAAGTTGATTTAGAAACCTGAACAAAAAGGGTAACAGTAGCTATTGCTTTCTCTTCAAAACTTTGAAAGTTTTCATTTTCATTGTTGTAGAGTTACACTCAGTCACTGGTACATGTACTTAAAAGTCCAAGTAGGCCTGTCCCATACATTTTTAGCATGGATTCTGTGTATTACTTGGTATGTTTTCTCTTAGGTCCCAGCCCTAACAAATATACAGTAGAAATATCGTCTGAGATTTCATTGGAATAACAGTGTACCTCACAAATCCATTTTCCCTAAAAATGTTGGTGATGGGGAGTGGAAGGGTTTGCTCCACCCCCCCCCCCCCCTCCTTAACTCCCCCCTCCCCAGCTTGATTGATCTTCTTTATAAAACGTGATAATATACACAAAAGCAGATCATCTTTATACATAATCATAGATATGATCAGCATCATTTTACATGGTTTGTGATTCTTAGATATACCATTCTTTGTCTAATCTATTTTGTTTATTAGTTCACATAGATTTCATTTTATCACAAGGTATGTATATTATTTATGTATTTTTGTCTTTTCAGTGAAACTTTTCTGCTCTGATCCTAGTTTGGCAATAGAGGTCGCCACTGGACCATGCACGCCCTACCAGTACCGCCTGATGGGCCCTGGAAAGTGGGACGGGGCGCGGAACGCCATCAGGACCACCATGGACCGTGTTTACTACCCACTAGGCACACGCAAGGTGGAGGGTCAGAAGAAAACTGGTCATGGCTTGCTGAAAATGTTGATTTTTGTCATTGTGATTGTTGCTGTGCTGTTTAAATTTTTCTTTTAAGGGAGGGGAAGTGGAATTGTCTTACTTCAGACTGTATTCATTCATTGATCAATGTGTGTGAGGTCATCACAATGTTATTTTTAAAAAAAACTCAGCAAGGGCAAAATAATGACGTTTAAACCATTAACCTTCAATACATAGCATTGATTTTTTTTCCAGTTGAAGAATATTCATGGCAAATTTACTGCAAAACATTTAACCATTATTTTTAATATTTTTAAGTGTATCATGTATCAGTTCATTATTACATTTCATCAAATATTTTATTTATGTATTTATTGATTTACATGTAAACCTTGCAAGTGTTTTTTTGTTGGATGTTTTTAATACAATAACATCAGTTGTATATTGTGTATCAGTTGTGTATTTTTTCCAGCAATAGAGATTCTAATCATAAAAATGAATGATTATCTGGTGTGTCATTTTCCCATTATTTATATCACAGTATCATAAAGGCAAGTAATCCTTGACTGATGGTTTGTGCTAGTATTCCACGATGTAAATTAAATCGAAGTTTATAATCTGTTACATGGACTGCCATAGTACTTAGCTTAAGTATTTCACATTATTATTTTGTATTTGTATAATGAACAGTATTTATATCAAGAAAGTATATCATTGCCTATTACATCTGGTGCATAAGATGCAAAAAGTTTTTAATCATATAATTTTTATGTAATAGGCTAAGCTAATTATACATCACTTTATTACTGGTTTTGATAAGCATCAAACTTGGGTCCAACTAAACTTGTGATAATAAATCAGCTTTAAATTATCAGTTGTTTTCATATTTTCAAGTATTTGTTTTTGTCTTAAAGACATTCTTAATGCTTTTATATTTGCCAGTATTTTGTTCATCTGTCCTTCTTTTCTATGTAGAAATTGTCACAAAGTGATATAAAATTTTATTCACCTGCAAAATATTACAGAACGAAACGGTAAGATTCTTGACACATAAGTTTTATGATGGGGCTGAGTAACATTGAGCAATGCAAAAAATAATATCACATCGGAAAAAATATGACAATGTGAATTGAAATTAAACAAAAACTTGTAGGCAAGCAACATTTCAGTCCCTGTTTGGCACTTTGAGGTAAGACAAAACTAGAGTTATATATTTGATTTTTACTGCTATACAACAGCTGTACCAGTACTTTGGGTGAATAAAACGTATCATTCCTCCACGGGTGCACTGTCTCTGCTGCGATGCACCGATGATCAATCGCTAAATTTGAACAAAATTCATTATATTTCCACACAATGCAATTTCAATATCTTGAAAACGGAAAAAGCTGCATTCTTGCTGGAAACTTTGATTTTAACAAAAAGAGTACCATTTAAGAACAACAAAATATTGGCACAGATAAAATATTTGACGCATTAATTTGCCCGGAGAAGAGGTTACACCGTCAGGGAAAGGGGCGGTTCCGGGGTAACTGAGGAGACCCTTTTCTTCTTCTTGCGTTTCTGTTTTGCCGCCGGAGACGTGGCCTCGTCCGATACATGAAGTGTCTCCTCGTGATCTGTTTTCCTGGTGGTTTTAACTCTCTTCTTTACCCTCATGTTCTCTTTTGATCCTGTCAGTGTTCCCTCGACCTGCTTGGGGACTTTCGGTTTCTTTTTGCGACGTTTTGGTTTTTGGTGTGTCAGATGATTCCCCCATAGATTCCCCTTATTCTCTCTGAGAACGCTCATGACGTACCTTTGAGCATCTTTATCCAGTTTTTCGGCTGAAACCATGAGCAAAATAAGCAACAAGGAATACCAGGCGATGTACCCTGCGTTCTTAAAGGTGAAAAGCAGCTCGCTCAGCGTCATGCCATTCCTGTACGTGACCATGATGTAAATACGCACCACCAAGTACGGAATATCTTGAAACACCAGCATCATTGTATAGTACAGCGCACTGTGGAGACGGCTATTCTCAAACATCAGTTTATGTCTGTCGAATTCGTCTTTTGGGGGAGAAGGCGCGAATTTTAAAGTGCTTATCACCGTGAATACCATAATGGTCACAGTTAAGGGGTCTTCAGAAAAAATGGAGGCGTTGGTCAGAAGGCTCTGGAATTCGGCGATGTCGTACAGTGGGAAGAACTCCATTCCACATTCTTTGATTATTGAATAAATACTTGTGATGTCGTCGTCATGTTTTATCTGAAATATATAGATATAAAGAGTATTTGTAGGTCTTCTCATAATGCTTTTAAGGAATTAAAAACTCAGTTTACATAGCTGTAAACGCTGAATTTTCAAAGAAGTTTGAACCGAATGCTGAGAGAGAGAGAGAGAACGTGTTTGGAGGTGTGTGTGTTTGTGAGAGAGAGAAGGAGGGGGAGTGTGTGTGTGTGTGTGTGGGGGGGGGGGGGCACATTTCTCACTTTCTCAAAACAACTACTAATCTGACAACTGAGCATGACAAAACGTGATAAACCAACATAAAAACCCAGCCCTATCACTCACCTCTTTAAACTTAGCAAACCATTCGTTGACCACCAAGCACATCAGCACCACCTGTAGGATGAAAATACTCCACTCGTCAAAATGGTCAAATTCGGCAGCTTGGAGCAGGGAACTCGGTGAACTCTCTAGCGTGCAGGCTGAGGTAGTATTGGTTGTGGTGTTTTGAGCATAGGCTTTGAGAATTGAGCAAGGTATCTTCTTGGCGTGCACCTGTTTAAATAAGATTATTGTACCTTATTATTGATATCAGTTGTTTCCTGTTTGTTTCAAAATTGAAACTTGAAAATCATAAATATATCCTATCAATTGAATTTACCTTTTTGTGTTGAACGCCAAATGGCTGTTAAACAAGTTATGTCTATATCTACCAAAACTTAAATCCCATTCAAGCAACATCGGAATGGTAGGGTAAAGTGCAATTTTGTTGTATTGGGTCCTAGATCCCTTTAAGTAAAAACTTAATTTTGGCAAGTTCTTGAACCACACAATAAAACAAGCTCTATATATGTCCACCTACCTTGAACGCCAGGGCCAGTAATACCATGACAGGTGTGGAACAGAACAACACATACAGGGTGATAGAGGGACGCCTGGAAGATGAAGTTAATAGCGATTTAACACTTTTAACCATTAAAGCAATAATAACTCTTCCTTTGAGATTCAAAATTCCGCATGAAATACATTGTAAACAACGCAAGGAAATATATTCTATTGTATTTTACCACTAAAACGGCCGTTATTGCAGTAAAACTAAAATCTGTGCTTGTCAATAGGGCTTTCGATGCTTTCATCAAGGCATTCGTTGCTAATGACGTAATGGTGTCACGCGGATTCTCGCGTTCATTCGAGACCAAAATAACATATGGCGCCAAACGCATTAATGCGGACGCAGACGTAAGTTGCGAGTTTTTGTACAGTGCGTCGGATAACGAAAAGCCCAGAATGGCACACATTGTGGATATTAATGTATTTTAAGGAAAAGACGAATATATCTCATGAATCTTATATAGTGTTGTTGTTGTCTGCTTTTCCCGCGGTTTTAAGTAGGTCAACAGTGACTATGCGATGTCAGAGAGAGCTCCGTCAGTTAAAATCTCTTAAGAGATTTTAACAAAAAACCGTACGTTTAGGAAAAAAACCCTGGATTAACTTTGAATGCAGGAATGGGGTCGCTGACCATTGGTAAGTACGGGAAAATTGCCGTTTACTCCAGGAAAATCCAATTTTTGGCCAAAATGAAGAGTTATTATGACTTTAATTTCTTTAATGAACCATCCCAGAAGAAACTACATAGAGCTAAAGAATGAGAACGTACAGTGTAACAGAAGACGATAAAGACGATCAAGATGACAGTTACTGATTTATTTAAGAAGATTTATTCGTTATCTCGCCAAGCGATTGCATCGATCAATGGTTGTCTGTGTTTATGACTTATATGGACAACACGTTTTAACGTGTTTAAATGACATTAAAATGACATTAAATGACATTAAAATGACAGGGCGACAAGAAATGGCCATTACGTGTGAGATAATACACTGTCACCCGAGCGAAAAAGGCCATAATATTTCGAGCGCCAGCGACATACATTCCGAGAAAAAATGCACTCATTTTTTTCATTAAGACCCTAAAAACCGAATAAAGTGACCCCATGTCACGCTCTAGAGATGTTATATGGAACAAACTCGTCCACGTGCGCTGGTCACCTCCTGCCAAATTCTTATGTAATGTATGACATATTTGGTCAATTTTTGCTAAATACTTGTCGTGGAAGTATTCAACTCGCTTGAGCAGTATTTAACCAACCTAAGACACTGACCATGCGCGTCTCAGCTGAGCCACACCTTGCTGGGACTGTTGAGGAAAAAAGGTATCAGGCAAGACCTCTTCTTTACAGCCGGACGTGTAAGGGACGATTTCAAGTAATGTGAATCCCATAGTAATCACTCTCTAAGTCAGTAAGTAGAACCAGTGAATACTTTATTCGCGACAACGTACTTGCAACTTGTAATTTTGCGGGCCTTAAGCTTAGTTTTCGCTGCAATATGGCTGAAAGTATATTGCGCAGGAAATTCCTGACATAAAATTTGAATAATTGGGTGGAGCGGCGGTCAAAATTGTTGTTTAAATTTTGGACAGTAAAGGTCACCGCATCATGAGACACTGATTTCCCTGCGAGTCTATGGTATTTTTCTGTATTTAGGCCTAGGTGAGTGGACGGTGATGCAAAGGAGACGATGGTCTCATTATCCTGTGCATTGTTATTATCTCAACTGAAATTTTCCAAGACTGAGGTGCACACGTAATATTTTGGTTTCTTTGTTTATTTAATTCATTTAAAAGAATAAAATACTGACTTCTGTGTTGTTGTTGTTGTTTATTCTTTGCTATTTTAGACAGAATTCTGAGCATAATTTGTCTGATTTCAATTTATTGCGTAGTGTGCCGAAGTCTGTTTACCAAACATGAATTAATTATACATTTTTGGATTCTATTTATAGTGAATTTCGCTATATGTAAAAGCTTGGTAGTGTATTGTGCTTTGATAGGTGAAATTATTTTGAATCAATTTAGTTTTCGCTTGCAAATGTACAATGGCGAGTGCATCAAGGTTGCCAGTCAATCGTGCGACGTATTATTTTCTCTATTCTCTTGATGCCAAGAAGGTTACATGTAAAGCTCTGTCTCGGCTTTCAGAATTATAGAGATCTCGACTGATTTAAGATGTAGTCGTGAAACTCTAGACTACATCGAGGTTAAATTCGAGTTTTCCGAGAGACGCTACGCAGAAATGTCGAGTGAGTGGAAGCGGCTCGAGGTTGCCCTCGATCTTCACTGAAGCTTGGCTAAATGGACAGGGTCCAGTGATCAACATATCGCCACGGTCACATAACATCCCAAGGTATGTATTCTTTACAAGAATTTTGTTCCTTTTTAAATTCATGATTAAGGCTACCCTCTTCCAGGGTGGCAGATTTTGTAGGGAAAAACGGGAAAATCCACACACAGCCAAATGACTATTTATCTAGAAAAAAATCTGTGAATATATGTGGAAAATCCGTCTGTCGCCCTGGTAGAGAGTAGATTAAGGCCATTTTTTATTTTCTGAAATGGCGCTGAAAATGAAATGTTTGTAAGAAAATCGATACTTTTTCCAGTAAATTATTATCATTTTACAAGGTAGGCAAAGGCACCGATGACTGAATGATAATATTAATTTCCCATCAGTGAACGAAAATGAAATCGAAGGATCTGAAATTTAATTGCTTTGGAATGAATTAAGTCAAAGAACGAAATTATAAACTCAGAAAAGATGCATGTGAACTGTACGATTTACATCATAAAATAAAAAAATACTAACTCACCACCATCTTCTTGCATGTCGTCTGCTAAGCACAGTCACCAAGACATAAATCACTAACGACACCAGCACCAGCCCAGCAAACACCCCTCCCAATATGTTCCTAAAACTCTCAGCGGTGACATCCCACCCGTACATGTACCCCTGCTGGTTGTTAACGATGGCCTCCCCCGTGTATTTCTCCACCACGTGCCAGACCGTAAGGAAATAAGGCAGAGCGTAGCAGAACAGCTGGAGTGTGCCCAGTACGGTGTACTTGATTACCTGGCGACCCGTGGGGCGGACGCATAGGGGAGGGGTCTTCTCACCGGCCACTAACAGCTCGTCACTTCGGGGTGAACTCGCTTCCATGCCTTGGTGATATTAACATGAGATGCTTGCTGTATGTATTCCTGGTAGGAAGGAAGATTTAGCTTTTTCTAAACGTCTGAGGAACGTGCGTTCTTGGCACTAAAACTGAAATCTTGACACTAATATCTAGACAGTATACTTGGATACAGTAATGATGTCTCCGACACTAAATAAAGTGAACGTCATGCCTAAAGACCCCACACAGAATCACAAGCCTTGTCATGTTGATCTAGCCACGTGCGTCTCTGGCGAAGTATCCGTCTCCACGGTGATGCACAGCAGTAACCATGGAAACTTCCCCTCTCTACCGGCAAAGAGTATGTCGTACTCTCCCGGGCGTAGTCTGTCTTAGCCGTCTTTCCAGTCAATCTACCACTTAGCCCTATTGTGATCATCATACACTCGGTATCAGACCCATGTTTACGTCGGCCCCTATAGAAAGCGTGATAATAGTCTCTCAATACCCGTGAGCTTAATCGAAGCCCAGTCATAACGATGACCTAGCAACAACAGTTCAGCGTGTCAGGGTCGATACGAACATTTCTTCATGCGGAGCGACTTCAAAAGAACATTTCTATGCCGTATTCAGATGTGCGTGCATTTCAGTGCAACAGTCTACGCGGCTTAACGCGCACGTGGGCTGTTTTTTTTTTCTGTTTGATTATGTTATTGGTCTCATTGGATAACAAATAACAGCACTTCTTTGTACCTGACGACTTTTAAAACGCTGAAACATGTACTCTGTAGTGTATCATTAACAACAACGATTCTGAAATGAAGTTTATTAGGTCTCAAGTAAAGTGCCCACATATACTGTTTATCGATCATCGAAGATTTAATTAACGGTCCCTAGATTTTACAATTAAGAGTGTGTAATCCTCGGTTAATCACTTCATAATCCATTTTATATATATGAATAGTTTGAAAGGTGAACCGCCAAAGGAGAAATTGAATGCTTGACACGCTGCATTTCCTCAAATTTACCTAATGAATAAAATTCATCCATTTACGCGTCCTTTTAACGGAAATGTGGGCTATGCATTTCGCCCAAGAGAACAAACGCTCTTTAAAAATATTATTTATTTTTTTATCGTTTATTGCCAATAATATTGGGCAGAGGGATGACCAACTACTTCTAGGAAATTATTCACAGCAAAAGATAGGAATTTTTAATTTGTTTTTCATCGCGCCAAAAATCCACAAACAATCGTTTTTCCTTCCATAAAATAAGCATTATCAGTAAACCATTAAACCCAAAGGATTCTCGCAAACGGACCTTTATTCAAAAAAGTGGTGAATATCCACATACATATATAGCTTCATATGTAAATACAAGCTGACAACTTTCATTATTCTCACGACTTCATAGGAAACTATCTATACAACAACGCTGTAAAAACAATACGACTACAATTAATATCTGACAAATACATTTGTGGAAAGTTAATTATGCCCTTAACTCATTTTAACAAACTCCCCATTAAAGTTTTAAAAACCTTTAAAAGGCATTGCAATATTTAACAAAACTTAAACAATCATGAAACATAACGTAGGAAGCATCTGATAAGAGAAAATCTCTCCTTTAGGACAAGGAATAAGGTGCATCTGCTCAACATTCGAGTACTACACATCTTTCTAAATAAAAACTAATACAAGGAGTAATATTAACCCCTGTGAGACAAATATCAATTTTCTCTATCTCAGTACATTCAAACACTAGTACTGTCACCAGTTAAGTATAAGAGAAAAAGTTAACATAATATCATCTTTTAAAATATTTCAAGCTTAGGTAAAAATAGTAATAAATTAAGATGAAAATGGAAATACAAAATTAAAAATAACCATGCTATTACAACAGGTTTTAATTTTACCACTCTAACATAGCTATAACTTCCATCATAAGAGTCTAAACTCATATCTGGGATTTTCAATGTAAACATTTCCCTAAATTTATCCTACAATCTTACTGTACAAAAATAAAAAGATTACATTATAAAATAACAAATAAAATGACAAGAAATATTTCACAATATTCCAATCTGTAGAGGGACACTTGCGCAGACATCTGATGACTGGGAATATATCATAGTTCCACCAAAATTACACTGCCCAAAATGATATAAATCCACATGTTAATAACATTGAATAACACCTTAAATAAAGATAATTTATGGTCAAAGTGAGAAGAAAAATCATGAATAAATTTAGTACTAGTAAGTGACACCAAGTATAAAATCACTAAATACAGACACCTGGGCTCCTTAACTTCAAAGCATCACAAATCGCGAGCAAGCGCAAACATGGAGATTTGCCTCTATTTCATAACTCGGGATTTACTCGCTCCATATAAAAGCCTCGAAATGAAAGGTGATATCGCTATCACAATTCACGATGCTTTCAAGTTATGGAGCCCTGGATTGTCAGGAAGGATATATGACATCTGGTGGTAACTTAGGCGCCATGGTTGGTGTAGTTGTCGTGGAGTTTCCCAGGCCTGTAATTAGGTCAACAAGTGATCTCAACAGAAATCATCCGAGGTGGCCTAAAATGAGAATGTCAGCTGTGTGATGTCATACAAAACTAGAAAACATGTGAGACATCACCTGAGGCAAAGATAATTAGCTTTTAGCAAAAATGGTCATCCTTTATGTGCTTGGTATGTGGTCTTGGAAAACAATACAAAACTAACACAAAAAAAAAAAACACAATGTTGTGCGAAAGACTAACTTAACAGAACCTCAGAGAAAACAAACAGTGAAAAATATCTGTGGATGAATTCTGTCCGCTTGTATTTATTGCCGCACTGCACTTGCTCGCCTCTCATTATTTCTGACACCCTCTCTCCTCCAAATCCAACGGAATCTTGTCCCATTTTTTGTTTAGTCACGAGATTTGGGCTATCTTGGATGATCTCCATTAGCGTCCTTCCAGATAAAGTTAATCATGTTCCAAGTCTGCCTGAAATGATACAATCTGGAAGCTAGGAGAGGAGAGGTCATCTTCCGGCCGGCATCTCCATGGACAACGCCTGGACTATCCAAGGGTCACACTTAGAACCCTCGCGGAATTCATCTTTTGATAACTTCCCATCGTGATTCTGGAAAATAGATAAATTAATAAATATTAATAGTGACATACCACCGATATTCAGTTATTAGGGCTGAAAGAAGGAGGGCTACGTAAAGGAAGAAAACATATTCCCCTTCTCCAAAATCTCCCCATTTTTGAACATTTCTTACAGAATCCAGCTAGTTTCTACCCTGTATTACCCATAATAAGTATAAAATCACTAAAAAATTTTTTTTAAATACCATCCCTAAAATATATAGAGAGTTCTTGTCTTTACCTTATCCATTTGTGCAAATATTTTCTCCACCCTTTTTTCAGGCGTATCTTCGTCTTTCGGCAGGTCTAACATGTTCCCCACCATACTATAGATAGCGTCCACAATGTTTACCATCTCTGCCTTGGTGATGTAACCGTCCTGGTCCACATCGTACAGGTTGAATGCCCCTGGGGTGATAGACAGGTTTAGATGTGTTAACACTGGCTTCATGGGCAGGTGCTCTCTGACAGGAGCCAAATGGCACAAATGATCACAATGACAATCTCAAATCACCACTATAAGTGTGATACCTTTCAATCATTTGTAAAAACAATCTGATTTTCCAACTTGGTCTGCCTTAATGGCCAGTAGGTTTATCTGTCATATGTTCCTATATTTGAGAAAAGAATTCCATTTCCCACCGATTGTGGCAGAGAAATAACCTGTCAGTTCAGTGTAATTGGGATGAGCTGAGCAATTGCTTTTGTCTCACCTAACGCATCTCAACTGTCTGACATAGAGCTCATATATAGTCTGACATAGAGCTCATATAGGCCCTAGCACAGAAACAATTGTAACACACCTTTAATGTATATTAAAAAACATTTAGTGGTTTATACTAAGTAAAAAAAAATCAGCTCCTTTTCCTTCTGTATTGGTCCCACAATTTTAAACTGCCCACATGCCTAAATTAACCATCTGACACTGCCAAAACTGCTGACATGGAATTTCTGGTCCAATGCCTACTGACCAGGTAGTCAATAACAATGTTTTGTTTGCTCACTAATATTTGTGATGTTTACTGTAACAAACGCTTGCATGCACACAGTTGCCAAGCACCAGTAATTATACGGGGAAGAATTTTTTTTTTTAGTATCACCAATCCATCCACATCTCTCCCATTTCATTTCACAACTATTTTTAAAAAAGTTTAAAAGCAAAGCAGTCTTTCTAGTACACAATAAGTTCAATATGTCCCCTATATGGATCTAAAACTGTTATCAAGTACAAAGATTACTTACAGTCCAGTTTCTCATCCAGAGTACCTCTAGAAGTCACTGACAAGGCACAGATAAATTCTTTAAAATTGATGTGACCATCCTGAAAATACAATGAGAAAAGATATTTTTCTTTGAATTTTTCTCTTACCATAAAATTTTCTTATAGATTTTAATAACCCAACAAATGTTCTGTAATTTGTAAAATGTGAAATAAATAGTGACTTTAGCCCATTGACTGTTTTGCTAAATAATTAAAACATTTGTGGAACAGATTTTATTAAGCAAAAAATAATTTGATTCAACACCCAGATAGATGAAAACGCCTATGCCCAGTCTGAATCAAGACGCCAGTTTGTGTTTATTTTGTAATGGATCTTTAGACTTATATCTGACAGAAATTAAAATAGTAGCATGGTGGTAAAATTATGTAAAATACACCGAACAAATTTTTCCTTTTTTTAATAGAGAATAGGCAACTCTGGCAGCACATATAACTTACAGTAATCCATATAAACCCTTTACCTTATTTGCATCAAAAACATTGAAGACAAAATTGGCAAATTTGCTGGGGTCCCCATGAGGAAAGAACTGTTGGTATATGGTCTGGAATTCCTGGAATAAAAACAGGATGGATCTAATAGATAGTTAGTTCTATGGCCACCAGGGTACACTAGTGGTTCATCTTTTTCCATCAACAGATCAATACTGGAGAAATTGTTATATAGAGATAAAAAGCCTACAAAGAACTATAGTCTTTTAATTAAGAAAACATTAAGTCTGTCAGAGAGAGAAATCATTCACTCCCTTCTTTTCAAATTATTCATAAGTACTTTTAAATATCCATAGATCAATATTTTAGACAGAAACAGAAATGATTCAAAGTTCACTGACACATGCCCCCAGACATTCCACACAAAACAGATATTGACAAAAATTAAAAGTGTCATTGTAAAATGAACAAAGTATTGGATAGCCTCCCATCTTGCCGACCAAATTAGCTCTCTATAATAAAAAAGGAAATAACACACTGTTACCACAGACACAGAGATCTTATTTGACATATACTGACAGACCTCCATCCAGGTTGACGAACTTATCAAAATAACCACACTGGAAACAGTCTGGTATCATGTTACTTGTTTTTTAATATAAAAAATAACTTCTAAGAAAATTCTGACCTCCTGCTATAAATATCAGGGCGCTCTTCTTACATGTTAATAAAATGTCATGAAAATGTAATAAATAACACCTAAAAACATGCTGTATTCATAAGCTTCCAGAAAATATTAAGTGTTAAAGCACTCAGTAGCTAATGTACTTGGTTCATACATGTATACTAGTAAAAAGTATCATCTTCATTTTATTTTAAAATGACACACCAGACAACAGTGCATAAGAGACCAGACAATTAAGCATATGAGGCAGAAATGGGGCGGGGGGGTGAGGGGGGGGTTACGATTCGTCAAAACATCATTAAGTCAAACAGCAATGACAAGCTAACAGTGGGCCAGCAGATCAAACCAATTATCACACTGTCAATAAAGTCTATGGTTTGTTCAAACACCTCCAGTCAAAAGATAAGGCATATTATCTTGTGGACTAAAGTATAAGCACAATAAATTCCTACTCCAGTTGACTGAGAAAATTAATAACTTGGTGCAATAACAGTGTTCAAATATAAGACGTAAGAATACAGCTAGCAATTTTAATTCTCCCAGACACCCTTATAATGTATAATACAGCCACTTATACCAATGGCTATGGTGAACCAGTGGCAAGGAAGGTTATATACTAGACATAGATGATTTAAATAAATATAACTGTCAGTGTGGATCCTTTTTCTTAACTCAACTATGATTTCTATTTAATAATAATAAGAAGAAAAAGAAGCAGAACACCTCTAATATAAATATATTGATAAATAAATATCTGGCACTACATGTAAATGTATAGTATGAAATTTTTAAAAACTTGAGTTGCTGTCAAATGTTCAGACTGATACTTGAAAGCAAAGAAATAAACTGTTGACAATGTTTATAATATTCTGAATTTGGTAGATATGCAAATCCTGCTGCCTACCTAATACTTACTCTTTATTTTACTTTTTTCTCTTTTTTTTTTTTTTTTTTTTTTTTTTGAGGCATCAATTATACAAGTAATATTATTTTACTTTTATTCTACTTTTTTTGAGGCATAAATTATTCATGAGAAAACTCGGATACACAAGAATAAGAGTACTGTATTTAATCTTTTTAAAAATATTTTCACAATATCCATTTACTTCATCCCTAAAGCTAAGCTTAACAGTAAACTGCAACTTGATTTATAAATACAATAAAACTTCGAGAAGACTTTTTATCATAAGTCCAACATTTATTGAACAAGCACTGCAAACACGAATTATCCCTATGATCAGCAAAGAAAATAATACATGAGAATTTTATTGCGAGTTTTCATCTTGTAATTTAGCAGAGTATTTACCAGATTATCCTAGCCCAATTCAGCCATGTTTAGCGACACATATAAAGTCCTCTTCATGACACAGATTTAAACTTCCTCAAGCACTTTCGACCTTTTACCGAGAGGGTTTACAACCATAACACCTTGGCGACTAAAAGCCTCCTTTACCATAATACATTAAGAGTTTCCAATACCCCCGGGTAGTCAAAGTGCTGTGAGTCAATACCAGAAAATCACCTTCATTTGTTCTAAAGTTTTACAGCCCCTGTAAAGGTTCTATATATAAATCAAAGCATTGGTCACACAAAGTAGAAGATTTTCTCAGTACATTACTTGATAATTTTGTTTCTACACAGCTTGCTTTTAAATTATATAAAAAAATTAATAATAATAAATACTTTATTTTTAAATAATAAAAATCAAATAAAGGAAAAGAGATCTATTAACATACATATACATGGGAATGAGACTTAAACAGGTAAATAAATTATTATTTGCAAACTTCTACATAAAATAAGACTGTTTTATCATATATTTCTTAAGGTCATTTGGGTACTTTTTCTACTGGTTACAGCAAAACATGTTGTTTGCCAAAATAACAAGTACAGCTTGTCAAAGTTTTTAGCCGTATTGTTTGAAATTTTCAAAAGCTATTCAAACCTGCAAAAAAGTTCTTAGCTTATGCTCCAAACATTCACCCCACATTGTAACATAAGAGAACATAACAAATATTCAGTCTTGAAAAAAATAATCGCACACGAAGCTGAATTTTTCAAAAGAGTTTCCCTTCTTCCCTCCCTAAATGATACTTGCTACCACATTTTCTAAAAATTTAAGAAATTAATTCATTTCATTTTGCTTATATAGGCACAAAGACTTATATAAACATAACGATATATATGTTTCTATCGTGTCAACTTTTTGATTGGATAACTGTCCAAAGAATGACCGGTATCCAAGTTAGCTTCGGCTAAGTAAATTTTAACGATAATCGCTTTCATGATTCATTAAGCAGAGACAGCGGCCGCCATATTGGACATACTCGAATCTTACGTTTCTTTTATTTTCTGATTTTCTCTCAAACATTGGATAGGCTGGCATCAAGTTGACACATTTCTTCTCGTTCATCTGAAATCTGACTCTGCCGTTAGCAGACAAAGTAACCAGTGACCCTGAAGGGACCTTCTTACGACAAACATAAACCATTTGCGCAAGGTGCCTTTCATGCCATGGCGGTAAGCCTCCCGCGCAGACAGAAAAAATTATATAAAGTTGCCGTTATCTTGAGAACAAATTTAGTGAAGATTTTTTCGTAAATTTGAAAAAGGCTAACACGGGAGTGCATTACTTTAGCTTATTAACCACATTGTTTCGCTCTTTACGATTCATAATTTGTGTATTTACAAATATGAAATTGTGTACATAGCCTGGGGGATACAGCGACATCGAACCCGGCCTGCACTGCCAAAATACTGTGACCGCTTTGTTCAAGGTTGCACTTTGCGTAATGGCGGAAACCGTTTATTTTGTCCCAATTTCTATGCTTAAAATACTGGTGCCCCGTGGGCTTATTACGATACAACAGCCTCATGTACGCCCCTAACACTTGAATAAATAATCTTGTTTGCAAAATCGTACTCGTAATCATTACTGATTAAATCGTATTAAATTCAACAGCTTTGTTAACTAACGACCTTCGTGATCTCTTTATTCAGTAAGGGCTCGATAATATTATAATTTACAACAAACACCACCATGACATGCCCTGCGGGATGTCGCTACACAAAATCTCATACAACTCTATCGATAATGGTATTTGCGAAGCACTTGCGATAATCGTCGATTAAATTACTCGATTCTGAACACCATTCTTTCCAAATCAACTTTTCAAACAATCAAGTTGTTCAAGTACTTGTATCGCTTCCCAGCATCTTTCATCAAAGTTATCGAAAGTTACTCAACTCCAACATAAAGCTATTATTCGGCAAATAATTTCTACAAACATTTAGGCGGCCATCTTGCACATGGCGTGGTGTGCAACAATTGCCCATTAAACCATTAAGGGATTAGCTGTGTTGGTCTAGCCAAACTTCAAGACTCTCTCATAGTGATCAACAACTATAACACAATGCCTTCCAACCCGTTAAGGGATTAGGTACGTAACTGACGAGGGGGAGGAAGAAAAGCAGTGCACCCGTTAAAGGCTTAGCAGTGTAATTGGCAAATGAAGGAAAGAAAAGAGGTGCAACCTGTAAGAGATTATATAGTGGCAAGTTAAGCAGGATCCCTTTATTGAGTAAACCTGGAGATATTTACCTCTGTAAAGAAGACAACTTATACACTCATAGAGTGATATCTACTGGGGAAGCACTTTTTCTACTTAGATAATTGAGATTTCCTGATAGAAAAATTCACTGAACAAACAATCTTGTAAACTTATACTGCATTTTCATTTAAAAATCTTCTCAGTATCATAAACCTGGTAAAATTTATCTACCAATTTTTATATTTTGATGAAAAAACGGTGGGCAGATTCTTCTACAATGAAATCTGAATGAAACGGATTGGTAAGAAGTCACAGACCTTCATCATTTGGTATTTTAAAACTCCAGAACCCTTACTGTAGTATCAGTAAGCACAAGGCAGAGAGTTAAACTAAAGTAACTCCCTCCCACTTAATATTCAAACATTATTCAAGAATTAAACCCCATCAAAATCAGCAGCTGGTGGTTAAGTCATTTTGAAAACATAAAGCACTTTATTCAAACCTTTAGATATCGAAATGTAAATATCATGAAATACATTGTAAATAAATCAATATAACAGAGGAAGCCGGGTGACTCTTGGTGGATGAAAGGAGTTTGGTAAGAATTTACGGCAGCGTCAGTAGAGCTATTTTGCAAATTTAGCTCCAGGCGGTGCTGTAACTTGCCTGCGACCTTCTCTGACCCGAGTATTGTGACAGATTTCTAAGGAACTTTTTTTTGTGTAATTTTGTGTTTTGTCTTTCTAAAATCCAAGGTGACACCTGCCGCTGTTTTCAAACACCTGCTAGGACAATTTCTTGTTTATTTCTTCGTGGCCTGAAAACAATTTCAGATAAAAGAGTCACTTTTTTACATCTTATTTTGTTGATATTCAGCAAAGAGATATTTTCTCTTCATTTGTTACTTAAATCAGTTTTGCATACAACAATACAGATTGGATTTCTACACAAATGCTACCAAATAACAACACCTAGCTAGGGCAAGCAGTGAAAAAATATATATATTGCAAAATTCATAAATGTTCTGTTAAAATTTCACTTTATTTCGAAAAGTTTTTAATACACCTAATTACATGTTCAATTACTTATCACTTGAGCAAAAATGGTGTACTGAGTTAAAAAGTCAGATTCCCTGAATTCATAAAATGTTGTTAAGGCAATATCTAACCAATACCTGGATCAATATAAACCAGAAAAATATTACTTGATTTCAAAATATCAAAATAATATATCAATAATAATTTGCAATGATGTGATCACAAACTTTATCAACAAGGTGAATGTGAATTAATACAAGTGATAAGGACAGTTCAATTTTTTTTTACAATCTGTTATTCATTCAAATATATTTGACAGAAGTATCTCTAATACAATACTATGTACATTAACAAACCATCAGTAAATTACTAATACTCTTACTTTTAACCAACTTTCTTGATTGTCACTGCAATTGTTTCATATACCACTGAATGCCAGAGATATATCAACTATTTTTAAATGGACAAACATTTTATACAAAATGAACACTCTAAATCCAAGAACTTTACTTTTTCACACTTATTTAAAATTCAATCTTGTTGATTTTTTTGAAAATATGACACAGATATTTTTTAATAAAAATTTTGCACTTCTACCACTTTTGATCTTTCAACTCTGTTTGAGCGTGTGGTCAGCTGTTCTAAGGCAGAGAGATACATTCTTTACAAAGAAAAAAAAAAAGAATGTTCAATCAAGTTGATCATGCTCTTATATACCATAACTTCTTTGATTAAAAATGTGTTGATTAATCATTTTATAATATTTACTTATAAAAGTAACCTTACATTGCCTTTGACAAATGAAATTGTCATGCTTTAAATGGATCAAAATTTTTAACATTTCAATGTCTATTTTAAAAGTAAACTTTTGCATAAAATTATCAAAAAAAAGAAAAAAAAACCCACTGATTTGTAAATATCTCCACTAAAATGATAACAGATTCTTATCTGCTCTCGGACTCGTTGGGATCCCAGTACAGACCATCACTGCGTAATTTCTGGGACAGAAAATACGGCTTCTCCACCGGACCCTTCTCCAGATTAATTGGGTACCATGACAACCGCGGTGGAGCAGAGCGTATGCGGCTGATGGCAGTCGATCTGGCCAAACGATCCACAATCTCCTGAAACTCGGCCTTCGACACTTGCCGAGGTGTGCGAAAACGTGTGTCCAAATTCTTAATTTTCCAGTCTGGATTTGTCTTCTTCATCCAGTTGACTGGTTTCATGTATTCAAAGTCTTTGTCCTTCAGGTCTACGCCGCCTCGGCTGGCTACGGTGGGTTTGGTGATTCTCTCAACGATGGGTTTCAGTTGCGTCTGCGGGACGGGCTGGTCGCTGTTGGGGGAAGCAAACCATGGCTTGTAGCTGACAGTTCTCTGTGGTAAATCCACGCAGCAGTGCCTCTCCTGCCCGCCCAGCCCTCTCATCATGCTCTGATAGTCTTCTGACATTTTCACTTAACTCTGAAATTTAATTCAAAATGAAATTAAATATAAATATCTAATATAAATACAATAAAATAAATAAATACAATAATTGGAATAACTTTCAAAAATGTTTTAAAAGTTTCAGTTCATTGCTGCCACTGTTCGTACTATTTACATAATGAATATCTCTATATATGCATTAACATACTTCAATTTTGCTTTCTGCCGTCTAAGCTCTCTAGTGCCGAGTCAACGTATGACGAGTAATTAAGTTCTGGCATTGATCTCTGTTTCCATGCACACACACATGACATGCACTCACACACACTAAGTGTGACAATCTATAATTGAATCTCACAATATTCTTCAACAGCTCCTTATCAATAATAAATTCAAGGGCAGAGTAACCACTCACCTTGCCAGGAATCCCAAGGAAGTTGTTTCAAATAGCTTCTCTCTCTTTCTCCACGATACACGTATGTCAGTAAAGATGGACTTCTGCAGCAATCACAGAAACACGCGGTGCAGTGTTTACAAAGAAACCATGCTTCAACGCCTTCACCAGTGTCTGCAGCAGCGCGAGTCACTAATCAAACATTCCTCAAAGCTTTATAAAATAAAGAACTCTAAAAGCCGAATATGAATAGCAGTAAAAATCTCAATCAGTTTCGGCTTTCCTGGAGATGTGCGCAAGTTGTGTTTGCTGGAGAAAGTGGCCTACGAAACCTTGGACACTTTTCTCACAACAAACAATGCACAATATTGCAGTGACTTATCAAAACAGGCGACAGAAACAAGGAGGTGCGTTCTAAACACCATATTCTTAGGCCTATTTGTACCAGTTTTGTTTATTCTCCTACGCTTACAATAATTGTCTAAGGTCTATTTGTATTGAGGCCTTAATCCTTGTTTAGCCAAATGCAAAATCCTGCCTCTGTGTTCAATGAATTGTAGCATTTGTTCAAAAGCAATTTATAAGGGCAGTATTTCTCAAATGCCCTTTCCAAATTATCCCCTTTCTTTCTTGCCCTTTCTCATGTGTGCGTATCGGAATTAAACGTGCAACTTCGATCCTTATGACCAAAGGCACAAAACGTGTCCACTCCAGCATGAAATATTATAAATAGAAGATAAATATCATTTTCTATTGGGATTGTTTCTTCCAAATTTTTGTTAGTTACTAAATACATAGAGCAAATGCCACGAAATATTATCTGCATGTGGCTCTGTGAGAGGTTCATTTTTCTGTTGCTTATTCTTATGTAAACATAACAAGGTTGATATTTTATTTGGTTTGTTGTACGATTGCTTTATTTTTCCAAGCTTCTTGTGCTGTGGGTTGGTATTTGATTGACTTATTCTATCAACTTTAATTGAGATCAGATTGCCCCAGGTGGTGGCCCACCTGTTTATTAGGAGTCGCCCACAGCAGCAAACTTATTATTTGGTTAAAACCAAGGAAACTTTTCATTGCCCAAGTCAAAGGAAAAAGTCTGTATTTTACGAAAACTTCATTTGACCAGAATTAAGGACTTCACATCAACACTTTCAAAAACTTCACTTTTACTTAATTTATTTATTTTTTATTTTATTTTTTTACATTCTCTGAAAATGAACAATATTGTACCAAATGTTTAGTTAACCCATTCCAATGTCTGCTTGTTATTTCTGATTTCTTGCTTACCAATACCTGTAATAGAAACTAAAAAAAAAACTTGAATTATCTTGCCAAAGAGAAAAATTGATCTGGCACTTAACATGAACCATCGAGGGAAATTCATCTTTTTAATAGGGTGGTTTACAGCAGACCTCAGATAATTACTTCCCTCCAGAAAAAAATTAAAATATCAAAAATTGACTCAGAGCCTGCTGCTAAAACTGAAGAGCAGTTTTTACCTTTCATTAATTTAAATACACAAAAAACTGTACAATTAAAATTTTAATCACCTTTTAATCATTTATTTCACTGTCCAATACTTGTTTCAGATAAAACATTTCAAAACAACATTTTAAAAGTAAAATAATTTGCTTGTCCAATAGTTATACACAAAATATCTCTTTTACACAGACTACATTATTTTTTAAATATATATTTTACAAACAATTTCAGGCATTGAAATATTGAAATATAACAAACATCTGAGATGAAAAATTAAGATTTCAGTACAAAATCTCTCCTTTGATATGACAGAACTTTCACATTTATTCAATCTTTTCATTAAATCAAAGGAAGAACATTTCATAGTAAGAGAATTCATTTTAAAAATGCTATTTTTAAATAGGTATAGAAACACTTTTCTATAAAAATAAGATAATTCTCAAAAATATTTATCAACATACCAGTTTTCTTTGATAATCCATAAAAATATACATCAATTCACTGACGAAAAAAGGAAACCAAAGTTTACTTTTATATGACAGTGACATTATGCTATTAATCACAGTGATGCTTTAGAATGTACTTATGACTTCTACAAATATAATATGATTGTAATTTTTCCTCAATAAAGGAAAATATTTTGATTTACATTTCACTTATATCAGCTCTTTAAATGTCTATAAGTAGAAGTTCAATATCAATCTTGACGATAAGTTTTCCTGACAAATGAAAATAATTAACTGAGTTTTGTTTAACTAAAACCAGAATCAAGTTTTTAACATTAAAAAAGAAAGAAAAAAAAACTTCAGCAAAGTGTCTAGTTTTGATTTCATTTTGATTCCATTTTGACTTAATATAGTTGGTAGGAAAAATAAATTTTCAAACAACCACTAAAAATTTTAAAAAAATAATAATATTAAAAATATCACATTTGATGACATTTAAAACTATTCAAGGCTTCCATCTGATTAATTAAAGCCATTATTCCTACCTTTATAACAAAAAAATAAATGAATAAATAAATAAATAAAATCCACTGAATCATATTTACTTCACAAAACAGATAAAATGCCTAATTTTTGTAATATGTCTAAACAGTCCAGTTTAAAACATAGAAGTATGTGGTCTGTCAGGATAATTCCCTACATTAGCTCTGGCCCTCATATTCCTAGCTGACTGGAGTCTGGCTTTATATGTACCATTAGGCTTTGTTAACCTCTCAATTATCTCTGAAAGTTCGTCATCATCAACTTTCCTCAGTCCTTTAAATTTTGACTCGATACCTTTGATGACTGGCAGTGTTTTTGTCTTTGGTGGTTTGATATAGGTGAAGTCTTTATTGGCGAGATCTACCCCTCCGCGACTAGCTACAGTGGGGCGCGTCACTCGCTCAACCAGCTGATCAACTTGGTCAACAGAAATCTTTGATTTTTTCTGGTCATCTTCGTGAGCTGCCCCTGGGGTCTTCCCACCATTGCTGGAGAAAGTTGGTTTTCTAATTCTTTTCACCATGACGTCTATTTTCCCTTGGTCCCTGCCGTCCCCCCTGACTAGCATTTTGTGGTCCTGATCTTGGAGATACTGTACATGACAGGCCTGAGCATCAAAGCTATATCTGGCTGCTCTACTGGCTGTAGTGGGTCTGGTCACTCTGAACACCATCTCGTTAAGTAGCCTCGGATCCACCTTCTGCTTCTCTCCCTGTCCGTACAGCTGACGACATTTCTCGTCAAAAGTCCGCATGTGTTGGACGTGGGCCTCTTGGGGATCAAAGCTGTAACGAGCAGCTTTGGTGGCCACTGTTGGGGTGGTCAGCCGGTCAACTAAGGACCGGACTTCTGCTCCGGACATGTGTTTGTAGCCGAGAGCCCCCTCCACTGTGGAATACATGGTCACTTGTGGCACGACAGCACTCGGTGCGCAGATTTCAAGCATCAAGATGGTTAGCCTTGCTTGGAATATCAATCCTGTTTCATCTATTCCCCATAGGGACAGTAAAGCAAACAAAACCCGCGTTACCAACACTGGTTTCTTTCCATTGAACAGTCTTAAATTTCCTCCTTTTTTTCACTTCCTTTGTTAAACTAGATTATTTCCTGCAAATGTGAAGATTGTTCGTTCAGTTCAATAGTTGCTTCACTAACACTGCTGCTGTATCAGAGAGGTTACCCGGGAGACAATTCCACACATTCACGCACACTGGGGAGTCGCGAGAGGACTAGGCAAACTTCACCCAACTTAAGACAAACATTGCTTTTGAGTGTCTCAGCTATCCAAATTACTTATCACAATGAATCCTTATGTCAATTGCGGCAGACGTTTACTCCATCAACCGTATACTTGAGTTAACGGGAGTGGAGGGATAATTCTGAGCTTAAATGCCTTGTTTTAGTGTCCTTACAGATGTAACTGTTCCTGCTGATTGAATAACCCTCAGGTCTGTAACTATCTGCTGTATATTGATTAGTCTATTGATTTTCTATCATAGACGGCTCCTCTAAAATAAGGTCATTTAGAGATTCTTCATCACCTCCCTGTGTCGCAGATCTAGTGTGATGTCCCCAGTGATAACAGCATATCCACCAGGAACGCACTAATCCCTTGTGACAATTTTCACCAAGAGCGTGATTTATATCTCCTCCTCTTCAATGGCCTAGTGGACGGTAGTTACCCTAACAAATGTACTGACAAGCTGGGAACCACCGTTTCTATGTATCAAGAAAGTGAAGCGCCGAATTGAATTTCAGTTTTGTTTTCTGTACAAACAGTTTCCTATTCAGGTCTTTAAGAGGCAGCGACCGTGAGGCTATATTAGGCGTAATTGTGTGACTCCAGGTTGTGGGGGAAGGGTAAAGGTGCCAGAGTCCTACCTGGTGCCTAAAATATGCTGTTTATGTTAGGGACAGAACTAGCTCAGTTTATCAAGAAAATTGCTTTTTAATAGACAGCCTGAAAATAGCCACCTAAGTAACAAAATGTTTTTTCATTTTTTTCTGGGTTATCAACGTGTATGCCAACAACAGTATTGTTAATGTTTCAATTATGATAAAACCAAGGAAAAAAGTTTTATTTCTTTAATTTATTTCCACGGTTGTGTCAATTTTATCCTGATAATGACTAAATGTTGATATTCTATATAATTCTGCTGTAAAATCTGAGATTAAAGTCCTTATCTGAACTCAATACTTTTTGTTTTTATCATATGAGATGCATATCGCATTCAAGCTGTTTACCACAATGCATGGGAAAACTGAGAAATAACAACAGCACACAACCGATAATTATTCCCCTTCTCCAGGCACTCATAAAATAATTTCAATAACAAACTAATGAAATTGTTTATCCAAAGAACACCTTCTCTCTGTAATCTCTTGTGAACAAAAGGAGTCGGGAAGTTCTAATGTTGTTTTGATCTTTCATACCACACAGAAATCAGAGCAAAAGTTATCAAAATGGAATATTGCATCAACATCTGAGGAGAAAGCAAAGTTTTTTAAAACCAAGGCTCTGAATTGTCATCTTCCTGGGGATTTGACCCCCTTTTTGTTGACTTCACCAAAAATAGGAAACAAAACATACAGCACTACAGCATTCTATTTATTTGTAAATAAAACAAAATTCCTTTAAAAGAAAAGTGTTTTTCAACTGTGAGGTGAAGGTGCAATAATTTCCATACCCTACACTGTCAAGAGTGAGCAACTTATGTCAGTGTTTCACACCCGTCTTCAAATATTGTCACCAATAACACAAGCATATATCAGCCGGATTTTCAGCATCATTT